AAAGCGTGAGTTCATGAAAATTTATCTGCCGGAGTTTCATGAGTGATGATCAGCCTTGTGGAGTTTGAACCATGCAGGTGCGATGCTGGAGTTGAAGAACTTTTGCTAGTTAAACCAATGTGATGATCTTGCTACTAGTTGTTTTGTTTGACGTGAACCTATGTGAAACCAGTTGTTTAGTTTGACTTGTGCTGCTAGCTAGTTGTTCTGTTTGAAATATGGTTCTTCTTTTTTTGCAACGTTTGGATTGCATCATGATAGCACTCAAAAGATGGATTACATGATCTGATTACACCAGCAATAGCACTCAAAGATCGATTACATAATCTTCTTACATCAACAATAGCACTCAAAAGATGGATCACGATCTGATTCCAACAAAATACCACCACACTACTGAAGTAAAAAAGCCCTCGCCTCGTCCACGATGGATCGATCACAAGGCAACTTCACCGGGAGGGCATCAACATTTGCAAGGACTAGCTTCCTCATGTGCGGCACCTTGTAGTGTTGGCCTCCCTTATCCTTCAAAACCTCACGCATGCAAGATTGTAGAGTTAGGAATATCCTGTTGCACCTCTCAGCTGGGTATTGCTCAAATGCCTGGCACACCTTGCGGACTATGTCATCAATGGAACCTGGAAATAACTTCTGAAACAATGATTGTAAGGCAGCAAAAAATCCTAGATCAAGTATGTTAAGATCAGGGGAGTTCGGTGGCTGACACACCAAACGAATGTCCCACCCATCTGCCTGGGCCGCGGCAAGGAAAACCGGATCATCAACATTGACATGAGTCCTGGCATTATCCTGCTGGATGAATATAGGACGACCACGTTCAGATGGAGGCCACTTTGCCTTGATGGCGGGGATAACCTTGTTCACCAAGAAGTCTCTACTAACATCCCTTGTCACCCTGGAGATAACCTTCGTCACAATTGTCCCAGCTGGACGATTAGGACTATCCCTTTTAGCCCCCTCCTCAAAAGTGAACGGCCATATTCCAATTTTTCCATCAAATGTCATGGTACCGCCCACATCAAA